CGTATTTTACTAGGCTATACTAGCGTATATGAATAACGCGTACTAATTGGCTAATCGCGGTCACAGTTCAGTATGGTAATTAATCAGGCCTAATCGACTAGCTAATTCTATGAAATTCGTCCCAACACTGCCCTTTTACACATAGGCTTACACTGCCGCATTCTAAACAACCAGATCTTGACCGATTGGCCTGTTGGCCTCTTTTGCCCTTTTCTCTCTTATACTGACACCACACACAAGCTTTTCGCCTATCGAATTGAATTCGCTGGTGGTTTATACCAGGTACTGGCCTTGGTACTGGCGAAGGTGCAAAGGCAAAGAGCTGCTGGTAGAGCTTTCGCCGAAAATCTAGCTAACTAGATAGCTCACTAGCCCCCTGTTGCTTCTTAAAGATATATTAAATGCGGTAAGCATTAATAATTGCAGCATCAATAAAGAAGAAAAGCAGAGGGAACCAGACACGCTCGCACTTTCGATGAATTTCATAAGAAGCCCTATACTGATTTGCAATATCCACACCACCTATATAGTGATTGTAGTCATTGATAGCAGTAGGAATCTCGAGCTCCTTAGTTATCTCATCACTAAAAGGTATACGCGAGATAGCTGCATTCGTAGAGGTTGGTGATGGCCGCTTCTGCTTAGTAGGAGTGTATATCTCTAGCGAGTAGATAGTAGATAGTAGAAGGACTATATTATTGTCCTGCCAAGCAAGACATAGAACCCCTTCAGCCTCTGCTGCATAGAGTATACCCTATAGGATCGTCTTAATGTGATCCTTTAGCTCAACGAGCTAAGAAGGTATCCTATTTTGAGGGCGGGTAGTACCACATGCACCACATTGAATATCTCGAAGCTCTTTGAAAAGGGCTACCGAGGTAAAGTAGTTATCTAAGTAGACAATATAGGGTGCTAGGGTATACGAATTGGCCGGCGAATTGGCCATGAGGTTGGTATGCGAATTATTCATAGGGGTAGTAGGAAGATTAGCCATCGAATTAGCTATAAGATTGGTATGCGAATTGCTCATAGGGGTAGCAGGAAGATTAGCCATCGAATTAGCCATGAGATTAGTATGCGAATTGCTTATAGGGGTAGCAGGAAGATTAGCCATCGAATTGGCCATAAGATTGGTATGCGAATTGCTTATAGGGGTAGCAGGAAGATTAGCCATCGAATTGGCCATGAGATTGGTATGCGAATTGCTTATAGGGGTAGCAGGAAGATTAGCCATCGAATTGGCCATAAGATTAGTATGCGAATTGCTTATAGGGGTAGCAGGAAGATTAGCCATCGAACTAGCTAGGCCAGGAAGCTTCTTGACCATCTTAAGCACCATTCTTGCCGTAGGGCTAAGGCCTTCATATTTAAACATCTCCGCGATCCCCTATAGGCGGCTACTCCATATAAATGTCCAAATATAGCCATGTTCTGCGAGGGCAAAGATCTTATAACCTTGTTGAATTGGCTTATTAGGCATCTTGACAGTATGCTTCGTACGGCCAAAGCAGCGAACCATAGTCTCATCGATAGAGATATTAGAACCTGGTTGGTAGTGCTTTTCAGCAGCCTCTTTAAAGAAGAAAGCCAGAGGGTCTAGCTTATACTACCACTGCTTCTTATCCTTCTCCGATCGCATCTCATCTTCGTCAGGGTAAGATATATGAAGATAGCGCTTAATCTGTTCAAAGCGCTTAAGGGTCATATAAAGCGGAGGAGTATATAGTGGTCCTTCTCGTCTATCTTGCGCCTAGTAGAGATCAATGCGTAGCTCAGGGTGAACACCCATATAAATAAGAATACCAAAGAAGACCTTGATCTCTGCAGTTGTAGTATCCTTCCACGCGCGAGTAGTAGTAGTAGTAGCAGTGGTAGCTAGCTTCGCTAGATTTCGCTGCGCGTATACATTAGTAGATTGGCTGATACGATCGAAAATCTCTTCGCTAATAAAGAGTGTAAAGATCGCGTATAGGCTATCTAGGTCAATGCTAGTAGGTAGGTGCAGCCGTAGAGGTTCGGAGGAAGGGATCAAGGGCTTTAGCTGCCGAGAGAGTTCTTCCTTAGTAGGTAATTCGGCAGTAATCTCGTCAAGCGTACGCTTCCGTGTAGCCTTAGTAGATTTCTTTGGAGCCATGGCAGATTTATTGGCAGGTTGGTAGGCAGGTTGGTAGGCAGGTTGGTAGGCAGGTTGGTAGGGGGTTACGCGTGTAGAAAAACACGCGTTGATGACTTAGTAGATAGTGGAGCCCTATATCCAATAACACATCGAATATTTTAGTCCGATAACCTATTGGATAATATAATACGCTAATTGAAATGCGCTAATTGTCCTTCCCGGACGGACGAGGGGATAAGAGCTTCTCTTTCTTCTTGTTATCTAGTTCGTCATCTGATTCTTCATTTGATTCATTTCATATTATTTACATAGCCTATTATACCCTACAGGAACGCCTTGTATGGCCAATTTCTCCACAATTTGAGCACTTAGAGGGCGCTTTCTTCTTGGAGATCTTCTTGTCTGATATTTTGTTGTTTTCTTGAGCTGGTTTGCGAGCTAGCAGTGGTAATAGAGGATCAAGTATTGGCATAATGCAGTTGCTGTGGTAATGTATGGTAACGATCTCGGGCAAAATTGATTAGTTATGTGATCGGGGTATTACATAATGAGTGGTGCCGCTAGTAAAACGTGTGGTGTCTGTATCAATTCCCGATCAGCTCACTGAGCAGGTCTGATCTACTCACTAAGCACGTGGCCTGACTAGTACCTTAGGGCGCTGGACTAAGCAGAACCGACTTGGCAACCTTCTCGGGATATTTGATCGCAAAAAGGGAGGTCACAAGGTATCCCATCGGATGTGCCACTAAAGTTGCTTCAGAAGCGGTCGTAAGGCCTGCTTTCTCAAACATGCCCATTCAAGTCGCCCGGAAGAGATTCAATCTTGATAGAAGACAGGAGCGATGTTCGCCACAACCCATGTCCCTCTAAGTCCAATAGACGCAGTTAATACGACGTGTCAAGGTCAAGAGTCTTGATCAACGGGCGCGAAGGCTTACCAAAGCTTCCCAAGCCATGTACAAAGATAGCTGGCGTACTGCCCTTTCCCTGTTTCTTATAGTAGAGACGCTCCCCTTGTATTGCAGTGAGATTTCCTCCAATCATTAGGTTGCGGTAACTTCAAGTCATCCGGTGTAGGTGCATAGGAGACGAGTAGATTCGCTTTCACAACCTTGTTGATCAATGACTCTAGGCTAGTAACCGATACTTTGACTTCATCACCTGGCTGAAGCCATACTGGTGGATTCTGTCTAAATTCAACATCAGCGGGCTATATAGTGATACGAGCTGACTGCGTGCCCACGGATCCATTCCGGGTAGGTCTTGCAGGAATAATTTGCGATGCTCAGCCGCTTAATATTCTGCGCATCGCGACCTCAAGGAGGAGGAGGGGGGAAATCTCCCTGTATGCTGCAGACCTGTGGAGGTACTATAGGAAGGGCGGGCAGTACCCGTAAATGGCTTAGTCTGCCACAAACGGACGGACCAATCATATCGCATCCCTTAGCCTTACCAACCAATCATATCGAAGTAAGCAAAGTATATTCTTTGTGAATGTTTTTCTAAGGACGTCTCCCCGTTCCAGTTGCAATAACATGTCCCGGCTGAAGGGTGGTTCCTTTTGAAAGGGCCTCTAATCAAAGTAGGAATTGAGAAAATCAATTTTTTTGTTGTAGCTCTCTGTCCCTCCTAGCCATTGACAAATGTTTGTACCCGGAGTACGTCAGGCAGATGAGCTGCTGGAACCACGACTGGATCCTGAAGAAGATTCAGATGAGCCAGATACCAAAATGAGTCAAATCTCAACAGTCAGGATTATGTACCATTGGACGATATGTATCGCCAGATTTGCCAATGAAAAACTGCCTGTGGTCACGTTGACGCTCTCTGGCGGTCGTCCTTGATTCTGCAATGACTTGATATAGGGATTCCAATGGCGCCCTAGAAGCGAATGCTAAAGGCTCAAAAGCTTCGTCATCCCAGTCAAGGTGGCCAGCCCGAGGCACTTGAATTCCGGGGTCCAGATAGGCAACAAAATTTGTTAGATGATTCGACATATTAAAAATACATATTGCGGTCATCCTTGTGGTATAATTTGAGCATTCAAAACACTTCGCGGGGTCGAAGAGAGATTAAATACGGTAAACTGAGCCCATGATGCCCACATCCCCAAGGTATTTGTATAAGCAGGCTCGAATGATGTTTTAGGGCATAATAGTACAAACCTCGATTCGAGCCTAATGTTACCACTTATTTCTTACCAGCGCTCGATGGAGGAGTGTACGTCAACTGTTTCTGCTACTGCAGTAGGACTTTCTATTGGTTTTGGAGAAGCAGCACAATCTATGGCTGGCAAGAAGGTCGGTATATTCTTCGGGTACCCAGAAACGAAGAATCGCTTGGAATGGCGGATCATACGTATGAAGGTAATGATGGTTTATCAGACTCTTTCGGTTTGTTCGCTTTCCCTTTGCTTTTCTTTCAATGAACTCTCATCTCAAACGTTCTCTTGATTCATCACCATGTTCAATATCACTCTCGACATATCTTTCCTTCTTGCACAACCACTTGCTTCCTATATACCCCAACAGCAAACTGTCATTTGTTATATAGCAAAATTATCAAACACATCGATGTTCAGCATGACGTCCTTCGGCCATCACCCGGCGGCAGGACCGCTCTTGCTTCAATTGCCGACTTCCCGCTACTACCTGCACCTGCACTTTGCCCATGTTTACTAGAAAGTAGTACCTTCCTCACAATGTAGAAGGAATTGCCTCATGGGTAGACTGAGATCCCCCTCCCCCAATGTTTCTTTTCTCTTCACACCTTGCGTGCTACAGCGACTGAGCTACACCAAAGCTAAGTATACTGTTCATATCCTGTTCCCTTATAACTGTTTCACGATGACTGAAGGTTTTGATTGGCGTTCGACACTGATTCAATGTATAGTTTCGCTTGTAATCTTCATCTTGACCGTTGCGGGGGTAGCACCGTGGGTCAAGAGACACTGGGGTCCCTTCTGCGCCCGTTTACGGGAGTGTTGGAGACGCTTCTTGCCGGAAGAACCCCTGATCTTGAGCGGCAAACTGATGACCATGGAGCTGAGCTGGATTCCCTCGAAGCCCTCGAAGCCCTCGACGCCATCGACTTGCCGCCCTCCGCCGTCCCCCTTCCTCCCTCGTCCTCCTCCTCGAGCTCAGTAGAGCCAGCCGACGACGCCGTTCCGACGCCGCTGCCTTCGTCCTCCTCGCTCCCTGCGCCGCCTGCCGCCGCCGTCCTCCCTGTCCCCCCGCCCTCCGTCGCCGCGCCGAGTTTCTCTCGCCCGTTGCCCCGCCGTTCGTCTCGAATCCGCTCGCCAACTCAGTTCTATGGTTATTAGTGCTACCACATGGTGTCAAAACCATGGCTGCGATGACGGATCACCGTGTCTGCTGAAGCCACTCGAGGTGAGTCGAGTGGTGGAAGTATGTCGATTACAGGCGCCCAATAGGCTCCCACCTTCGAGACGGCTAATCTTGATTGTGGGAGTGGGGCCACCAGCGATGGGCTCGCACTTCTTCGCAGTGCTGGTGACTAGTAGCCTTCGGGTGAAGCTAAGACGAGCCTCAATGTATCTAAAACTTTGGTTTCCCGATAGAATATCAACATTTCTCGCGTTATCTTCTACACTGAATGAATCACGTCACATCCATCAAGCTAGCATAGAGAATGTGGAAAGGAATGAAGGTGACATATCATTTTGAATATCTGTGCCAGTGACAGCTGTGACGTAGGAGAACTTGGCTTTCGAGGACGATTCTCAGAGTGAGTGACTGCGGGCGTGCAGCTATTCCATCACCTTCTCCTTAATGAGATCTAAATTTCACAGAACACTGCTCTATAACTTCAGTAAGCCTGTAAAATGACCCCAAGAACATGCGTGCATACGTTACGCAGCAAGAGTCCCGATCTCGTTGATTCAAATGAAACTCCGAGACGAGGGAACTATTCAAGGCCCGTATTGAACACGGACCTCCGACGTTCCCGAGGCTGCTTCAAGGTTCACATCCTGTGCCTTGTTGACTGATGAATGGAAGCCCGGTATCTCGATCCATATCAGAAATAGTGTGTCCAGGCGTAGTTGGGAGAGTCGTCATTGGCGGGAAACGGGTATAGCTCCCAAGCGGATTGAGCGAAATATCAGGTGCACGGCTCTCTATATCCCTTTCCGCGCCAGATTGTCTGTTACTGTGCTTCTTGATAAGTCCCGTTATAAGATAGCCGATGAAAGCGATGCCGAGCCCGATTGCTGTCCCGGTCAGCGAAGACACAGTACATTTGGACCAAGAATACGAGCATTCTTGAGCAGTTGTGGTCATCTTGGCTTCGAGTGTTGATGAAGATTGAAAATTTTAGGGGAAATGGAGTGACACAAATCTGCAAATAGAGGGATAACATGAGAGGTAGGTATGATGGAACATGTTTTGTATTAACGCCACCGGCTCAGAACCTGTGATTGGCCATATTATCGACCGCTTTCTTAACCGCCTATGCCTATTACAGAGTAATTACATAGTACAGTATAAATTAGCCACTCCCTAAACCTAATCCGTGATCCTGACGGGTACAGTGATAGCCGAATCCCGAAATGGGTCAGTAGACGCCAAGGTTGGCCAACGGCGCTCGCGGGGCCCTCGTTAGAAATCTATTCTATTTCCATATTTTTTTTCTCTTCTATAGTGCACCTATCGATAAAGTGCGTATTGTAACTATTCGATTGGTCAAATTCTCGACTCGAAACTGTCTCGGACATTCAGTATATAGTCCTGAAGATGTTTTTTAAGATAAGTCATAGTAGAGAAACGCTGACAGATTAGTGGTGGAGGAGATAGGGCGTTGGTTGATGTAAGGATTGTTTTGCGTTGCGAGTGCTATGTAGTCTGTTTACGTCTAATCTTTACTGTTTGATCTGTATGTTTCGTCCCTATGTGCTTCGGTACTATAATAATGTGGAGAAGGCAGCAGTGGGCGAAACTCGGGGAGACGGGAAAAGCGTGGGAGGGCAAGGGTTTCTGTAGAAGTTGGAAATACCAATGTATATTCTATACCATGTTTTTTGAAGATATACTCATCGTAGCCTGTTCTTTACCAGAATCTTGTCCTGTAGGATGTCCTTGATACTATTTCCGAAGCTGAAGTCATTGACTTGCCTAATTTCATCTACGCGGGGCTACGCACTTTTAGCCGGCGCGGGTAAAAGCAGAGTTTGTGCTTGTTAATGCTTTGTTGGAGATCATGTTGCCTGGGTAGAACCTCTATTTTGTACTTCAATGTCTAGGCACGGATCACCGGTATTCTTCAACACTAGGGGCCAAAAAACGGCTTTCCTCCGGTGCCTTCCTTTTTTGCGGCATAATTATTCGAGCTTTTTTTCCTTGAAAGGATGCAATGACTCAAGAAATGGCTTTATGACAGAAAAAGAGGGCTACACAAAAGTGATTACCGAAATAAACAATATTGTGGGGCGCTGCTTCGAGTTGGCCTGGGCGCGGCGGACTGGGTGCTCAATAGATGCCTCTGATCGGTATCTGAGTAATCAGTGAGCTGACTGATCACACTCACTGAGAGCCTCTGAGCAGTCACGTGAATACTCTGATCAGCTCCCTGAGTCTGAGTCTTGAGCCTGAGTCCGGTCTGAGATTTACTCAGTGAGTCTGACTCCGAGTGCCCGTATAAAAGCAGCGGTATCTCAGAAAGGAAAGCCCCACCTGGCAGAGGAAAAACGCTCGGTAGAGTGACCTATGTAACACTAACTTACACGGAATTCCAATTAATACATTAATAAGCAGTTTTCTCATCTGATTAGTTACCCTGTCAGTTACAAACCTATTGACGTAGTTTATGCCACTTGTGAATGATCAATTGCCGTTCCTCGTTTGTTGCAGTACACATTTCTTTAATGCCTTGTGTGATCCTTAATCGTATGATCTCTTTCAATTTGCTCTTGGACATAGAATTCCGGAGGTTTTTATGTAATCCATCAAGGGGAAAGCCTGCAAGACCGCAAATACCTTCGTAGCCAGACGCTGTTAATAGCCCCTTAGGAATCGAAAGAATTGAAGCACCTACCACTTAACGGTTTGAAGAATGTACCACCTAACCCTTTGCCGATACCTAGGATCAGGCTCCTGCTACCTAATCGCCGGACAGCGTAGATAGGCTGCAGGATAAGACTAGTAACTCCATCATAGAACCCCTAGGTGAATTCCTTGGAAAAGTTAGTAAATCACAACTTCTAAAGCTATTCTAGACGTATATAAATACAGAGCCGGCTGCGCGAAATCCGCTTCTGATACTTCTCACAGTAGGAATTTCTCGGACTATCGAGTCATGATATAGCTTAGGTGCGTTATAGAATCCCTTGGTTAAGCTGAGCGTGAAATCTGCTAGAAGAACAAGAACAAGGTTAAGCAACTTTATTGCAATCATTCCGGTATAGTGACCTGTCTCGATGAAGACTTTCTTGCTTCGGGCAGGCTTAGCAGCTCCTTATTGCATCAGCGGCCTTTCCTGACTAGAAAGCTGATAGTTGGTTCCTATACCGTGAGGTGAGCCATTTAAGGTTGTATCTGCACTGTTTCCACCCCTAGAATCACGACTCTGATTATTTTGACCTTCCGGTTGCTCTCCAGCCGGCTCGTGAAATTCCAAACTAGCCCCTCTTTCACTCGCTAGGTTCTCTGAAGCTTCTCGATGTTTTCTTTTTTCTTCTTTTAACAAGCTTTCTGCAAAATACGAGACGGCCTATTCGCGTACTTGAGTACGATTATGCCTTTTTATCGGCTGATTTCCGGAAAAAATAGAGATTAATTATCCTGGAATACGCGCTATTCCACTAATAACGTCCGTGACTACGCTATAAAAAACCTCTACAAAGGCTAAAAGCGGCCCCCGGGGATCTCTGTTTGTGTTATATTCTTGCGGCCGGTACCTCAAATAGTGTTATTTCGAGAGCAGGTGACCTTATAAGGAATGCTTATATAACTAGTTAATACAGGTCAATATGCCCGGTCTGTACTAACACTAACGCTACAAACGCACTCAGCTAGATATACGAATATCGTAGCCACTACACAGCCGGTTTGTAGGGACAAATAGAGCATCGGAGCTTTTCAATGTTAAGGTGATGATAGAAACTCATTACCGCATTCTACACGCCCGTTTCTATTCGCATCTTCTTGCCTATATCCTCAGCATAGCGTTTAGTCGAAGCTTTCAGCGCCGTTTTAATAGCAGAAGCTAACTTTGCTGTCGTGAGTTGGTTATATGGCACCGGCTAGGGACCTGCACCTGCTCGTGCGATGATCGATCCCCAAAATAGCTAGTCACCAAAAAAGGGTACAATCACAGTAGGGCAGCCTACGAGCACACCAGCTGCGGTGGTTCCGGCACCTCCATGATGTATCACACAAGATACACGTAGGAAGAGCCAATCGTGGGGACACTTGTCTAAGAGAAATATATTGCTAGGGGTTTCCGCATCACTCACGCTAATATTAGACCAACCCTTAGATATGATCGCGCGCTAGCCCGTCTATTCAACGGCCTCAAAGATGATGGTCGTTAACTTCAAAGGGTCGTTGACGACTATCGACCCAAATCCAATATAAATTGGAAGTTCACCTGCATCGAGAAAGTCTTGCAGCTCTTGAGGTGGCTGATAGTTCGTATCCGGCGTCATAAACTGAAAGCCATAGATGTCGATATTCTCAGACTAATCATCCGGCTTTGGCAGGAGAGCAGGTGACCTGAACAGATCAGAAACCCTATAATAAGCTGAGGCAGCCCTTCGCAACAACATACCAAAGATAGCTATATGGTATCTTTAGCTTATGAATGATAGTGGGTGCCCGGATCGTATCTAATAGATTAAGCCTAAGCTCTTTCTTCCGAAATTTGTTGATCAAATCTCCAAGTCTATCCTATATTATGACTTCAACTAAAGCATACGAAGCAAAATTTGCCACAGATGCCTTTTCTCGCTTCGATCGAACATTAGCCAACGGATAGGGAAAGGAATGTGTGGGCGACTAGGGTATACTACAGTTCTTTAGCACGTACTAGTTATAGAATAAGCATCAGGTGATATTAATCCAAAAACACTCACGTGAACATTATATAAAGAGGGATGCCTAATTTCTTAGCGCAACTGAAATATGCGAAGCCTGGCGGATTTGCAATAATAACGTCGGCTACAAAAGGGCATGCGCAGTCGTCTGTAGCATTGCTCGCTATGCGGTCAGGTATTTGATGTAGACTAGTTCCTTCGCCCGTTTCGAAACAAGAACGCTAATAGCCAGAGAAGATGGCTTTCATTTCCCGGCGACGTTGTTGAATTGCACTACTTGTGATTGTGTTTAGATCCGGTATAAGGCTAGGGTTTTAAACTATAAACGCTATTAACTACTCTAGATCGCCTCTAATATCAAAAAATTCTAGCCCATTTTCTCTGATATCATTTCGGAATTTCAGGTGTGTGGCGAGACGAACTCTGTGGTTTTGTTTTCGAAGTTCCTTTCCTAGGGCAACGAATGGTTGAATGTCACCTCGTGAACCAACTACCTAAATCATAATATTCAACCGGAGTGGAAAAGGGCTTTGTTCGTCCTTTTTGAAAGACAAGGGTTCGAGGTTTCCATGATCGACTTTTAGACTTCGCTCCAGATATTTGATTAGCTTTCTGAAAAAGGGTCGATTCTCGTGGAATTCAATATGTAGTCGCCTATCGTCTGAAAAGTATAAATAAATAACCGTGAATAATAGCCTACGGAAGAAGGGGCTTACCCAGGACGCGAACACTATTGTCAAATACGTCGCCTATCGGAGTAGCTATTCGTGGAGGCATTGAAAGTCATAAGTTGCGTTCAGCTACACCGTTCATATTTATCGTGCGCATTATTTTGAGTGTATATGCTGGTTGAAGACTAGTCCTCTAATATGCTATATTTATTTCCAGATAAGTTTCCGTGAACCGAATCACGGATGTTAGGCCCCAACAAATCACTCTAAAATAATGATTATGCTTCTTCGTGTCAGAAAAGGCGCAATCACCTGTCAATCGAGGCTGTACGATGAAGCTACGACTAGAGCATTCTCGTGACGATGACTCACCACCCTCTGCATGACGTATTTTCGTCCGCGTGATTAAATCTTTTCTTATTACGCCGGCGGTTCCGCACCTTCCGCTAGTAGTTTCTAACATTTGCCCTCCGAAACTTTAATTCAAGAACCGTATACTGTAGTGATCCCGACCGAGATCTTGGACTATTATTATCGCAAGCTCAAAACTACAACCTGACCGATGTCCACGTTTAATATTACCGTAGGTAGGATTCGACTCGGTCTCGACTCCGATCATAGTTACTACTACCTAGGTAGTGTCGCTTCAAAGGAACAAAGTCTCAGTAAAACTACTTTATCAGCGGTCGTTTGAGATCTGACTGTACCTCGTACAGCGTAGCCAGCTTGTTAGGAAACATCGATAATATAAGTTGCGACGAAGCCAGAAGCTCCGGTCACGAGAATGGTGCTCTGATCCTTCGTGATAGATCACACCTCGGCTTTGTAGAGTCTAACGGGTTGTGGTTAAATAAAAGGGATGAGAGAGCTGCCTTATAATTCTTGAATTGGATTGCGGGCCACTGTTTGCCTCGCGGTGTTTCCTAAGTCCTCGTGACCATAACTAATATTGTAGATTCATGACATCGTTATATATACCTAATACAAAATATATATATTATATATATATATACATATATAAGCACGCGAATGAATGACCGACATACTTAAGCTGAATCCCGGAAGATTGTGGCGGGATACGTCGTACGGTGCTTACCAGCTTTGTTAGGCTTTAGATAATATCTACGGTACGCTTAGAAAGCCTAAGTGATCAGACATCCGTCCTGTGAACCATGAAACACGCATTATCATTACGCGATGAGGACGTTCTCGCTAAGCTATCTATATATAGTAAGTAGCCTACAAACAAATACTTTAGCGCTATGATAATGATAGCTGATTTATTCTATGTGGTCGAACACTACATAGTGCGTATACTAGAATGATTGGCTTAGTATGATTATTATTATACTAAAGTATTTCTACTATAGGTAGGTGGCTTAGCCGAGAACTTTCCTTATCGCGTGATGATAATGCGAGCTTCATGATTCATAGGACGGATATCTGATTGCTTAGGCTTTATAAATGATCATATTCGCTAGGGTGAAGATGCAATTCAGTCCTAGTTCCAAGATTATACACAAGTTCCTACGTTATTTTCCTATCCACTCGTTTCCCGGGCTAGCTATTTAGCTCTGACGGCAATATTCTCGCTGTTATGTTCTCGTCTCGTCGCTGTCGTTGGTGCTATAGGCACTTAGGGTGGTTCTGTTGTGAGGGCTCTACTCAAGAACCCGAGTTTTAAAGCCCGGGGAATTACACGCAGTCCCGAAAGTGATCTAGTAAAGGCTCTTAAGGCGCAAGGCGCGGAGATTGTTAAGGCCGACCTTAATGATGAAGCGAGTTTAGTTAAGGCTTTTGAGGGAGTATATGCTATCTTTGCGGTCACCAACTTCTTCGAGCCGGCTGGTACTCTTGGAGTCGAAGAGGCAAGAAAGATTGAGTACTAACAGGCTATTAATATGGTCAAAGCGGCGGAAAAGACCCTACTCTCCAGAATTATCTCTGGAGCACTTTACCTAACAGCAACGCTCTTTTAAATGGTAAATATAATGTCTATTTCTTCGATGTTAAGTCGTCCGTCGATGATTATATACGCCAAGATAAAGAGTTTCTTGCCAAAACTACCTTTATCTACTTAGCTAACTTCGTATCTAATATGTTCTACCCCGTCTTTTTGCTAAACTATATAGTAAGTCTAATAGACTTTTTGTTGTTCATTTTAATCCTTTATATTTTTCATTTAATGAGGTGCGTATTGATCGTTATAACTTATCTAGAAAACGGCGAACAAATATTTGTAGCTGCTTCCCGCGGCTGCAGACACACCGCTTTTATCTATTAGCGACGCTAAATTGAATGCTGGTATCTTCGTCCGTTCTATTTTGCAGAATCCCCTAAATACAGGTGGCACTTATATCCTTTGTGCTGTGGATGAATTTACCCTGCACTTATACCTAGCTAAGTAGGGTGAAACAACTGGCTTAGCTAAGGAACTAGGATCAACCGAAGTTGTCCTAATCTCCTTGGATAACTACCCCTCTCTTTGGCCCGGTTATAGCGATTTGATGGGCGAGATAGTTGCTTTTTGGGGTATGCTTCGCGAAAATAGCTGGGTTTCGCCTCTAGGAACTAAACCGATGAGAGCCTAGGAATTGATGACTAAGGAGGACCTGAATGAACTTCAGTTAACAGCAGACGCCTTTAGTATCGCAGCGGAAAAGTTTCAATCGATGGTCTAATTAGATAAGATGGTATGTCGTTGGGTTTTATCGTATGTCAGTGAACTCGTCCCACAGGGACACCGCTATCTCATCAAGATATAAGTCAGGCGTCTTAAGTAGATGATCGTAACGGGCTTCTAGCATAGCTGGCGTGATACTTTGTGGCTCCCTACCTTTGTTAGGCAGTGCTTTGACGCTATTAAACAGCCGTATATTGGAGGAGATCCTTAGAATGGTACGCTTGTTGCAGCCGGGAACCTCTGCCATCTGTGACGTGGATAATTCGATGATCATGTCATGAATAGGCTCGTGCTTCGAGGCGGCTAGATTGGGCGCCATCTTGGGTTGGCCACTTATTTTGCTTTGTCTATGATCCTCGTATCAAGCGAAGGAACAATGATTTTCAGGAGGGGCATCGAGGTGTCGAGTGTATTAAAGATACAGATAGTATAACACGAGCTGGAATTTTGAATACCACTGTATGATCCAATACAATTGCGACTGACAGGGGCCAAAAAGAAAACCCAAGAAAAGAAAGCGAACAAAGGAATATGAACATGAACTACCATCTTTGGACAGAGATCGGTGAAAACGCCTTAGAAGCGGTAACTATTAAATAGACTGTTAGTACTTAACAATACTTAAAGAAGTTTCTTTCCTTACTCTTCCTTTTTTTTCCCCAGCTATACATAATCACCTAAATACTCTGGAAAACCACATGTAATCTCTTCCTAAACTCAAGTCGTGGTTGGCTTAGGCCACTCTGTTCTCTTCCTCGCCCGAACATAAAAATTAACTGGACGAATGAGCTGATACTGGGGATCGTACTCAATGGCGCTTTCCCCTTCACGGGTAAACTCGTATCTGTAAACCAAGGAGGGGAGAACTACCTTGATCTCCGCAAGAGCGAAGTTGAAGCCAATGCCGGAACGTGGACCAGTCGCAAAAGGCACATAGGAACATTTGGGCTGTTCCTTTAGGTCGAGATGGTCCCATCGGTCTGGGTCAAAGCGCTGGGGATTATCCCATATATCGGGATTGGCGTGTATTGCGTACAATGCAATGATCAGTGCTGACCCTTTTGGAAGTTGGTAGCCACCGGGGACAATGCAATCAACCTTGGTTACCCTTCCAGGCTGAAACGAAGGGTTTTGCAGTCTAAGAGTAGGCATATCAATTTGAGTACTCTATGAAATCCGGACGAGGTAGAGTCTCGCGCCAGTGAGATTGAGGAATTCAGAGAGGCACTCTCCAATTGCCGGGACACCAAAGGTAAATA